GGGGGGGGGGGGTTGAATATTTCCGTATTCATACAGTAAGCTGCAGTCATGAAGCTCTTCGCTTCTTCTCTAGTGTGTGTGGCATCCTTGACAGCTGAACAAACTGCTGTGAGAGTGAGGAGTGAGTCTGAGAGCTTCCAAGCGCATGGATCCATGTAAATCGCATCCATCTGCCACACCACCCAGTGAAATCTCTCTTTTGCAATCTAGTTCTTTTTGATTGAGCCTGCAAGGGACCCTTCCATCCTCCTCCATCTGTTCTGAGTGGAAACCGTCACATTAAATGGCATTCAAGCATAAACATAGAGTATAGATATTCATGTTGCTTTTAGCTATTAATATATCGTAATTTACACCAAGGTGGCGGCAGGATGTAAAAGGGTTCAATTATGCCGCCCATAGCAATATTTTTTACCACTTTGCTATTTATTGCTTTGCTGCTTGGAGAAAAGCAGAATATCAGGCGTTTGAAATGATTGCTTAGCGGTCAAATTGACATATGAGTAATCTCTGGATGTTGAGACCCGTGAGACCCGTGAGTCAATTCCCAACATGATTATGCTTTAGCCCAAGTTCTGCCTCGAGGTTGGCTGCATGTCTAATGCTCCAATAAGAAACTTTTGATTGCCAATCATATGCTTTGTAATTATAGAGTCATTGTTAGTCGGTTGTAGAGGGGCTCTAGACTAATGGCAAGGTACACTTATTTATATAGATGAGAGTAACACATGCGTCACTTCTAGGCCAAAATTACGGCTCCGCCCACTTTTGGGGGTATCAACGCTGTCATTTGAATGGCCTTAAGCCACGGAGCTCTTCTTTTACTGTCCTTCCTTCTTTGAAGAAGTACAGAAAAACGTAACTCTGGATTTGTTTTAATGTTTGAGGTGCAATAAACGACACAGCATCTGTTTGACATGATAAAACTATTATTTTCCGCCTCGCTCATGGGAGTAACAGCTGGAGAAATTACGGCCTCGCCTACTGATTTTCATTTAACCATATATCGAGCCCAATCGTTGATTTCCAATGATTTAATGTAATTGTTTGCCTGACTGGCCATCGTAATCGGGCTCTTTGACGATCCAAAAATCCACGGTTTTCTAAAATTTCTGATCGGATTGGCAACAACTTCAGAATTTCTATTGGCCGCCATTCAAATGACAGCGTTGGTTTCCCCAAAAAGTGGGCGGAGCCGACATTTTTGCCCGGAAGTGACGTATGTGTTACTCTCATCTATAGCAACTTTCAACACAAGGCATTTCAAAGTGCTTTACAAAAATGAAAAACATTAAAGGTCTCCTATCATGCAAAATGCACTTTTTTATGTCTTTTATACATAAATATGTGTCCCATCAGAAACGTAGCTATCAATGCGCGACGTGTGTTATTTTTTGTTTTAAAGCTACGGACCCAGAATCAGCACTTCTCTAACAGGGCTCAAATAGAGGGATTTGAGGCAGGGCTAAAATGGGTGGTCTGTTTGGTATTTTGAGCAAAACACTTCATAGACATGTTTTTTATATATCTGAGACCTATAACATGTGCCTAAAAATACTATAATAGGAGACCTTTCAGAATGGTTTTGTTGCTAGCTACATTTATTTTACATTTTACTAGCTTATCTGTAATAACCACAGATATCAAATCTAAGGAAATCTAGCCAACACACGTCAAAATCTATCATTGTATAGTTGTCTTTATTTTCATGATTTCTTCGGGTGACAATCTCATTGACAAACCTGCAGCCTCAAGGGACACTTTACCTTTAAACCGAAATATCCACCGTTTCCGTCCACATTGATATTATCTAAATAATGACCCAAATCAGTTTATCTGTGTTCCACTCCACAGATATCTCGTCTTCCTGCAGGTTAAGAGGGATCTCTACCATGGCCGTCTCCTGTGCAAGACATCCGACGCTGCTCTATTGGCTGCCTACATATTACAAGGTATCAAGGCAATCATCTTAGATGTATTCCTCTTGAAGGTCACCTATTATGCAAAATCGACTTTTTCATGTCTTTCATACATCAACATGTGTACCCTCTGAGAAAAGACGTTCTGAAAGTTTCAGGAAAAAAGATTTGCAGACTTGTTGTCCTGATCTATTTATATAAAAACCTGTCACTTTATGATGTCATAACGTTTCTTTGGCTTGTGTAACCATTAGCCAATCACCAACCAAGGTACCCCCCCCTTATCACCTGAATCTCCTCCTAGAGCACATTTGTGTTCTTTTTAACCAAATATCTCTCAGAGGAGCGTGGGGAGGGGCTCCTTATTTTCATCTAAAGTAACAGACAGAGAATCAGCACTTTGGAAACAGGGCTGAAACAGAGGGGATTATGGGTAATGCTGCAATGATCTGTTTGGAGTTTGGAGCCAAACACTTCAGAGACATGTTTGTATATATCTGAGACCTATAATATATTGATGGAATACTGTATAATAGGGGACCTTTAAATGTCCTCATACAAGCTGACATCGCAGTGTCATGGCGTCCTCTCTGACATATTCTAAAAACATATTAGATCCCACACTTTATTTTAAAGAGAAATAAGGCGATTAAATATTATTGTTAACCAACCTCAGCTTCCACAGATGGAATTGCACGCTAAACTAAAACTGTAAATACATTTCAGAGGTTTGTTTACCACTTTTGATGTATATTATTCAATTATTTTACAATCTACGGCAGACGTTCTGATTGCCATATGAGCCTAGCTTGTTAATTAACAGCTGTGTTTTATTTGTCTATATGCTCACATTCTGCTATAGTAAATGTACTTTGCAGTGTGGGTGTGAGCAAATTTGCAAGCAGAGCGTGTTCAGAGGTTAAAGATAATGTTTGTTTGATGTAGATTTTTAAATCTGAATTGGTTGTTTTTACCTTAAAGTAAAACATTTAAATGTAATAAGCTCTTTGCACCACAGAAAGATATTAAGACAGAATTATTACTTAGTGTAAATAGTCTTGGGAGTCTGTGAACACCTCAATACAATGAGCCGGTTTTTAGACGACATTGGGTGATTGCTTGTTGTACTGTACATATCTATGTAAGATTATATATATATATTTATTCATCTTTTTATTTACACCATAAGAGCATATTGTGAAAACTTCAGCTGGGGCTAACTGAAGGCCTTTTTGTGTCAGTTTTTACAGTAAGGACAATCTGCTTGTCATTTTGTCTCCTCATGACTCAGTGTTTGCACTTTGCCTGGACAAACAAGTGGCAGTCTGAGTTTTCCCTTTCTGTAAAGCTTTCCCACCAGGTGCCTCTTGCTCAGAAAGGCACTCGACAGCACGTCAGAAAATGTGAATCCATAATGTCAGTTACACATATAAACTGAAATGTTTCTGGCTCTCAAAAATCCATTTCCAGCAGTAATGCTGCCAGAGCAGTACAGATCTCCCCAGAGAGCAGACATGTAGCCAAACTCCTCCGCTGCTCTGTTCCTCCACCATCAGTGAACGGATGTCAGCGGTTTGTAAGCTAGGCTGCTGAAGCTGGCCACAGAATAAAACTGGCAGGTATTTATGATAGTACCAATCTGGCAAACAAATAAGTACTGCATGGAATCAAGGTTACGTTTTGTTTGTTTTTGATGTGCCCATGTGTGCCCAGGTGTATTCAAAACCTTGACTTAATGTTCTTTGTGAACAAATGTGTGTAATGTGGGCTTTGGTTTGGACAAACACATACAAAGACTAAAGTGGCAAAATGCTCCTTGGTAAAGTAATTCAATACAAAGATAAAAAATGACATACATTTCAATATAATAATTTCTGATTGCCTTTTCATGTTAAAAAACGTGTTTGACATGAGGCTGAATCTTTGAAAAGAAATGTATGATTACAATCAATCTAAGAATCATCAGCCCAACATTATCATTTGCTCATTGCAGAAAAGATTTGAAAAGTCGGATCATATTTTATGTTCACATATTGTTGCATTTTGTACTTCTTCTAATACTTGCAACCAGAACCATTCGATTTGGGAAGGCAATCACATTTGTAAAGACATAAGTGGATTAAAAAGTCATCATAACTTTTCCTTTTTCTGTGTCTTTTTTACTTTTCTCCAGCTGAAATTGGCGACCACGACCCCGGCAAACACCCAGATGGCTACAGCTCCAAGTTCCAGTTCTTCCCTAAGCACTCTGAGAAGTTGGAGCGGCGGATTGCTGACATCCACAAGACTGAGCTGATGTAAGGTGACACTTGTCCATGCCCCTGTCTTCCTGTGCAGCCCTTCACTTCCACAGCAGCCACAGTACAGAGCATCACTGAACACACACCTCACAGTTGGTGCTGCAGCCTGAACTCTTACAGAGAATCTTAAATTCATAGGTCAGAAATCCCTCAAAGACTGCGCTAATGCATTATTTACACTTGATAGACAATATGCCTCGGATACAGAAATGTTGTTACAAATTAGCCAACATTTTGTCAAAGATTTTTTAATCAATTCACATTCACTCACACAAACGATGACTCCTTTAAAGGAAAGGTCCATAACCCACGGTTTGTGGACCTTTGTTGCCCATTTCACTTCAAAATCCAAAACCACACATTTGAACGCCTGAAATCTGCTCACACAGGTTATTCCGGTAAACCATCATGCTTTGTTTAAGGTCAACATTGGTTCAAACCCACTCCTCCCTCCAGTAGTAGTTGGCTCGTCTCATGCAGAATACAGTTGCTATTTTTAGCTTTACGAAGATGCCGTTTTGGATACACTTACGACAGATGAATTCGACACGCAGAGGATGTCCATTGTCTCAGTTGCACTTTGCTATTAGAGTTGAGCCTTTGTCTAATGCACACGACCATCCCCTGAGGTTATGGGTATTTCTCAGCAGTGGTGTAGAGTATAACGTTTCCCTTAATAGTGACACCGTTTTGCTTTCATACAGAAGACCCAAAGCATTCAATTCATGACCCTGGAGCAATCTTACACATATTTTAGTTCTTCCCCTGCCTACTTGTTGAATAATTGAAAACGTGAATGTTTCCAATCAAGAGTTCCCAGATTTATATTATTTTCTTTCTTCAGAACTTCTTAGTTTGTGATGTTGCAATTTCAAAATGTTGTTTAATCTAATGATATGTGTGTATACAGGGGGTCCGCGGGGTCTTAAAAAGTATTAAAAGTTGATAAATCAATTTAGTGAAAATTAAGGCTATTAAAAAGTAATGAACGGCATTTTCCAAGGTATCACATTTTGTATCTTGTTTTCAATAAGTATATGAATGGTCCAAAGAGGTTGTATTCTACAGTCTGCCTGAATGTAATCATTGCCTAGGTGTGTAGTGGCAGTGGCTCAGTCAGTAGGGGCTTGGACTGTGAGCCGTAGGGTCGCCGGTTCAAGTCCCCGACCAGGCTTAAAACATGGAGTGTGGACTTCTACTTGGAGAGGTCCCAGTCCACCTCCTGCCCTTACCGTGGTGCCCTTGAGCAAGGCACCGGACATAAGATCTTAAGATGTGTGGAAAGGGTCTTAAAAGGTCTGACTTCAGGATTCCTGCATACACCCTGCTCCTAACCCACTAACCCCTCGCGCTTATTCCACCTAGTACCCTTTTTACTTTTGTTGTTATTTTTCTTCTTTACTTGCTTGTAAAGCGCTTTGAGCACCAGGAAAACTTGGACGGCGACGTCGAGAAACAGGTCGTCGCGAGAAAGAAAGTCCTAGAGGCGAGGAGTCGATCGAGAAACACAAACAGGGTGTCGTCTGCGGCAGTCGACCTCGCAAGACAAACTCTCGCAAAAGACGAGGTGGTGGGAGGAGGAAGAAGGAGAAGAACCGGCGGACGAAGAGCAGGAAGAGTGTAGAACAGGGTCCTACTTGAACGTAGTGGACCAACGTGTGCTAGTAGGACTTTTGTTCTCCGAGCACCAAGTCGACCACCTCCCTTTGCGTCACCTTTATGATTGTAAATTTATGTGTGAACAAAAGTTGTTATTATAGTCCGAGACTCGTTGGCGTGGCACCCCAACCTTAGTTTCTCAAATTATTATTATTATGACTATAAANCTCCTCCTGATTGGTGGAGTTGGCCCAATAGCCGTAGCGCCACTTCTGTGACGTCATAGAAGTGTTCAAATCTGGATCAGTCTGTATCAGATCCTTTGCAGCCACTTTTTTAGAGATTTGGGTATGGAGGAAAATAGAGAGGGTTGTGTTTTCTGACACTTGGTGAGTTCCCTGGAACACCGGGGACTAGGGCTGCACGATTTTGGGAAAAAATCTAATTGCGATTTTTCTGACAAATATTGCGATTGCGATTCGAATTGCGATATTTGTTTTTAAGCGAGCCAACGGAAGTTTATTGTAAAATGCGGACATAACTCGGCTAGGAAGGTCGTATCAACGTACTCCTGTCTCTAGCACCCCCGCACCCCGAGCTACGAGTGAAAGAACTAAACTTACATGAAACTTCCGTTGGGTTGCTTTAAAGTCAAGCTTCAGTTTAAGATTCACCCTGTAATAGAAACATGTGATGGAGCATTACTAACCTGACTCAGATGGTTTGTTTCACCAAACCATCTAGGAAAGCTCCATTGGAAGCCATTTGGCAAGGGCAGGCACTTTCAAAAATACTTGGCAGGTGATTGGATCAATCTGTCTATCACCTTCTATCATGGGCCACTTCTAATTGGTTAACAATGGCTGGTGCATGTGGAGCACAGCACTTCTGATTGGTGGTGATGATTGACACACAAGAAGAAAAAAAAAAAACAATTGTAAAAAAAAAAAGAAATGTTAAAATAAATCGCAGGTTTGATAATCGCATCATTTAAAATCGCGATTTCGATTTAAAATCGATTAATCGTTCAGCCCTACCGGGGACACATATTCATGTATAAAAGACGTACAAAAGTGCATTTTGCATGATAGGTCACCTTTAATGTGAGATCAAAGTCGAGCATGGAATTGATATAATTGTTATTTTACTGTCTTCAAGTGTCTTTCTTTATCAACGTAGGACATTTACAAGAAAAAGTTATTTTACTGTGATTTTAAAATTGCTTCTCTATAGTAATAATACCTTTTTTTGGTTCATGTGTCTTCAGGATGTGTCCGGGAACCCAGCTTTTCTGGCGTTTACTCCTTTTGGATTCACTGTGTTGCAAGGAAACAGGAGGGTCCATCTCCTCAACTGGTGAGTTCAGATGAACTGGACAAAATGATACATTCTGTATGTGCATGCCAACATTCATGAGGAGGACTTTGTAGTTGTTTGTGTAAAGATGAAGTCCTTTCCCAAATCTCCATATGGAATATTTTAAGTACAAAGCAGAAATAACTAAATATATAAAGCGGACAATGAGAACATACATCTTTGCAGCTTTTCAGTAGAGCCAGAAAACTTCCAAACATTTGTTTTAATATCTTCTATATTTAGTCTCAATCCTGCAGGAAACAAATGTAATAAAACAACGCTCCCTATCAGGTATTAAAGTATCCTCCAATATATCATGATTCATGTGCAAGCACTGGACGAGGAGTCCAAATGAAACAAAGAGTAACCAGTGATCCGTACAAAGGATATTAGTTACAGCTGAATCAACCAGCCTTACAGTCTGAGCAGTTTGGAGTGGTGTTGTTGTAGAAATATCATCGTTCCTAATATCTATCAGCTTATTCTTGGCATTTTCTGTGATTGGTAACATATTGTCGAGATTGTTGAATCCTGAAATGAATTACTGTTGGCCTTGTGAATTCGCCTCTAGGGTTTATTAATATTTTAACACATATATCCATTTCTGCATCTCCCTTCTTTCTGCTTCCATTGCTGTTTTTGTTCCTCTTGTTTTCTCTTTCTCACTTCGTCTTCTTTTGTTTCCATTTGTTTTCATTTCCCTCTTTGTCTGTCCATCCTCTGTTTTGTCTGTCTCTGTACCTCAAACTCAGGGAGGAGGTGACCAAACTCAAGTTCGAAGCGAAGACATTCCATGTATATGCAAATCAAACAGAGGTATGTGCATGCATTATTAAAACTTTCCATTTTCTAGCCTGTGGAGCTCATGGAGTCTAATGAGTGTGGCCTTGTTTTATTCATGGAGACACAGCCAGTGGGGAGACAGTGTAATCTATCCAATAGTGAAGTAAATGGGAAGTGTTTGGGCAGAAGTGTTAGCCCTGGGTTTGAGCAGAGGAAAATGCAAAGTAAAGCCACTGGCCGTTTCTCAATGTGGAGTATACCTGCTGCAGAGCCACTACTTCAAGTATACTACGTCATCGAGTGGCGCCGAAGGATTGTTTAAATGCATGTTAAATGCCCAGCCTTCGGCGCCACTCGATGACGTAGTATACTTGAAGTAGTGGCTCTGCAGCAGGTATACTCGACATTGAGAAACGGCCACTGTCTGAGAGTTGGTATTTAAAATGTGTGCTCTGATTGATCAGTTATAATGCACTGTGGCCATTAGCTCAGTTAATTAGACAGGAAATGTCCTCTTGATGACAGTCATTATCACCCCATGGAGTCTGAAGTCAAATGTAATATATGATGTAAGTACGACTTAATGTAATGTACATGTTACAGGATAAGAAGATCATACTGACGTTCTTTGCACCCACACCTGAGGCCTGTAAGCACCTGTGGAAATGTGGCGTGGAGAATCAGGCCTTTTACAAGTGAGTCACAGCCCATAAGACACAACACGGCATAGAGTACACAATGTTTATTATTATGTTAATGATGTTTTCTCTTTCCCTTTCCTTACAGGTTGGAGAAGTCAAGTCAAGTCCGCACTGTGTCCAGTAGTAATCTCTTCTTCAAGGGTAGCCGCTTCAGATACAGGTATTGAATTGCTCCCAAAATATTGTTGATACGTTTCATGAAGAGGTTATGATTATGAAGTATTTATATATTAAGGACAGCTTTGAGTTGCAGTGCTTGATTTATGTTTATGAATTCACATTTATGTTTTCTCAGTGGAAAGGTTGCAAAAGAAGTGATGGAACAAAGTGCCAAAATTAAGAGAGACCCTCCCGAGATACACAGGTCAGAATCCTTATAAGAAATCTTTATCTTCATAGATATAGGAAATATTTCGTGTAGCTCGAAATTTTGCTGAAATGTGGAAGAAAAATATTAATTGAATGTATGAAATGTGCATACGGGTGTGTGTTTTTGTCCAGGGCCGGCATGGTGCCAAGTCGGAGCTGCCCCTCCATCACTCACGGCCCCCGGCTGACCAGTGTGCCCAGGACCCGACGGAGAGCTGTGCACATCTCCATCATGGAGGGTAAACCTCACTCTTAACCTAACCTCTAAAGAATAGACAAAAACTGTCATAAAATGCAGATGTTAGTCAGTCTGCACATCTGTTAGTCAAGTGTTTCCATCCCTTTTTAACCCTAGATGTACCCAACAGCCTTTTTATGTTAACCTAAGTAAGCCTTTATCCGACACCCTTCATTATACTGTAAATGTGTTCAATTTAAATTATTTAAGTGAAGTTTCTACACCACTAATAACTATATAGACTGAATGTTAATTTATACAAAAATGATTTTATACTATTCTATGCTAGTGTTTTGCATATCGTTTTTATTATTATTTTATACAGTTATACTAACTTTCAAACTAGTCCATGTGTTACAGTATATCTCAATATGTGGTGAACTTCTGGGGTACAATTTGGTTGGAAATCGCTTGTGTGACTTGATCAACTATAGATTACACACCTAAGGCTCTTACACAATTTGTAATACACTCACACACACATTTCCTGTTCAGAAAAAGTAGCCTTTCCGTGTGAGCGACCCCCCACTCGTGAGTGTCAGTCATTCTCTTCCCTTTGATGTTTATCTTGCACTCTTGATGCTCGCTTTCTGAAACACACACACTCAAGATCCTTGAGCCAGGGGCATTATTTTGACATCGGAAATTCAATCTGCCAGTTTATAAAGGGCACTTACGTCCCATCTTTCCTCCAACAGGCTATTAACCTTTAGCCAGAGCTTTCACTGTGAGTTTATTTCCTCTCAGTTGTAAGGCCTTTCTAAAACTAAATCAACTTGTAGCATAGTCTGTTTTCCTCAAAAAGGGTATTTTGTGAAACTAGCCCTCTCTTGTAGGCTCTGATATTGCACCCCTTTGTTGTAACACTGAAACAAACCCCCTGTGTTTGTCCTGTTGCTCTGTCTGCGCTGGCATTTCCACTTGTAATAATATCTCAGCCTGAAAATAGCTCCTGCTGTCAGGGGCCACGCCATGTGTGTCACGGCAGGGAGGGACCGTGGTGAGCCACATTCCTGTTCCTTGTCTTTCACTCTGTCTTTCCATTTATCTTTATGCCTGCCAGCATGTGGGGGCTCTCTGTGGTGAGGGGGGGGGTGGGGATCTTAGCTAGTCAGCTGCAGTCAATGACAAAGACACACAGCAGGAAAGTAGAGAGAGAGGAGGCTGTTTCAAGAGCGGAGAGAATAAAGAATAGAAGTACAGCAGTAAGTTAGTCTCAGACCGGTGTTTTAGCTCCACTGGAACCATGGTGAAGTGTCTGATCCGGATCAAGACCAAGGTGAACGTTCACCTGCGCATGGTCAACCACTGTTATCGAGATATGAATGTGCGCGTGCTGTCTCTGGGACCCAGGCTCTTGGGTAAAGTTCTGGGGGTCTTCCCGCTCCTCCCCGCCCTCCCGGGGGATTCCTCCTTCTCGGGCTCTGCTCCCGGGTCAGGACAGAGCTCCAGGACGCCCTCCAGGCTCGCTGTCCCTCCACAACTCCATGGCTGCCACAGGCCAGCTATCGGTGCAGGTAACAAGAAGAAATGGTTTAGTCTTACGGGATTATTGAGTGCTGCCCTTTTGGGGTTCTTCTTGTGGGTTCAAGGTGGAGAACTTCCTTGAAGAGAAGTCTTTGAGGAATGAACTAAATACTTCAGGGTTAAGCTCTGGATTTAAGGATGGAGTAGCAAGTTTTAAGTATTTCAAAAGGACAAAGAAAAACATGACAAAGAGGGCAGAATCCATCACTTGAGCAAAAAACTAATATTGGTTCACTTCTAGCCAAATACAAATGATAAAATAAAAGGTCAACAGAGCACAGTGTAGGAAATATTCCCAGCAAGCCAGGCTGAATCTCAAAGAGGCTGAGTGGATCTCTGCCTTAGGACTTGCGCCAGAATCGCTATTTTAAACCTCCTCTTTTACAGGTTCTCCTCTACATAGTCACATTTGCTGCAGTGGCTTGTAGAACATATACATTTCCCATAAACCGTATAAGGGCTGATGCCAGAATCTGTCTTTTAATGTGTTCTGCAACAATGCCTCCCAGTTATTAAACATGTCTGACTCATTAACTTCCTTTGTGTTCAGGTCTGGAGTCCCTACGAGACAGCGCCCACTCCACACCCGTGCGCTCCGTCTCCCATGGCGACTCCTTCATGTCTTCTCGAGGCAGCATGATGGACAGCAGCGAGGCGAGCACGTCGGCAGTCATCTCCGACGAGGCGTACAGCCCCTCAGACAGCATGCTCTCCACACCTGTGGCCGAACACGGGATGGAGAACCCTCTGAACCGCCACCTCAACGGGGCGCCCCGCAGCGTGGAGGACAAGGAGTCAGAGGCCGGAGCGTCGAAGGAGGGGCAGACCGCGGAGTTTTCATCCGGCAGGCGAGCGCTGCGTTTGGTGAAGAGCAGGCCGGCCCCACCCAGCGACGCGGAGGAGCTGAACAAGTTCATCCTGAGCGTGCTGCGGCTGTTCCTGGTCACCATCGGGCTGCTGTTCGCCCTGCTGCTGCTGCTCATCATGCTCACAGAGTCAGACCTGGACATTGCCTTCCTGAGAGACATCCGCAAGACGCCTGAATTCCAGCAGTTCCACTTTGAATACTTCTGCCCTCTGCGGCGCTGGTTCGCCTGTAAGCTACGATGGATGGGAGGTTTCCTCATCAGCAAGTGAAGCAGAGAAGGACAAAACACAGGCCTGCACTGATGGAGACGGGACATTTAATAGGGAGAGGAGAGAGGGGGGAGGGAAAAGGAAAAGAATGGCCGCCCTTTTCCCAATATCAACCCAGCTACTCTTATAAGGGAGTTACTGTCACAAGCCAAGGACTGTCCTCTGAAGAGCCTTGTTTATTATATCTGACCATCACTGCGAGGAAAGAAAATCACATTTTACTTTGGAAATTCAGGTCATTTCAAGGTATTTTATTTTTTACACAAAGCCACAGTGACAGGGTTTCATTTAAAACACTGAACGTCTGACAGACTTCACTCATTCAACCACAGATATAGTTGCCTTTATTTTTCTATTCATTTATATCCTGCAACATTATTGTGAGACAGATTGACCTTTTGTGTTTGGGAGTGTAACCTGAGAGTTTGAGTGAAGTTTTTAGAGCCAGTCTAGCTCATCTTCTTATTTATATATTTTAAAGCCAACCTTCATTAAGCTAGAATTTATAATTGTCACTGATCCTTTAACCTTCTGTTTTGACTTGTATCTGGGGGTTAGAGAAAGTGTGAAATGGAAAACCTTGCAGCACTTACTGAATGTAGATCAGTCCTGAGTTAAATAATATTTGCAAAGAATCTGATTGGCAACCGAGAAATACTAGCAGCAGCTATTTCACCCAGGAGTGACGTTGGTGCTGGTGATAATGTAAAGTAATAATGTGTCTAGTTTGTGGTCAGACGTCCAATAACGGTGTGCTCATGTTACCATTGTTGTTCAGCCACTAGAGCACCGATAACATTATCGTCCTATGACTATGATTTAAAGACAATTTGTAAGGATTTAAATAAGTATTGGAGGTGGTAGGCTGACTGATTTGATAAAATAGCAGCAAAAACAATAGCTACAATCAACTTCTGTGTGAAAGAAACAGTCGTCACGTTGCTGTAGTTCCTTTACAGTAGTTGTGAGCTAGCGCTGTGGTGACAGTGAAATGTTTGGTTAGTTCTTTGACTCCCTCACTCTGTAGAAGGAGTTTATCTTGATGTGCAATACTGTTCGTATTCATAAATAAGAGTCTTTACATTTAGGGTAACTTTGTTTTACCTTTGTAAAAACAAGTGCTTTTTCCCCACTGTATTCGGTCAAGAGAGCTTATTTTTAGTTCATGTCGAGTGAGGGGTCAATTAACTTTGTTTAGCCATTGCTTCGTTCAAATGTATGCGTTTATCTGTAAAAGCTGAATATGTTTAAGTCATGTTTCCATTTTTGTACAAACTCATGTCTCGTTAACACAGATTTCCTCACAGTGGCTTTTAATGGACTTGAAGCATTATTTTTTACTGTGGATGTATAGTTATCAACACTTACACGAGAGCCTAAGATAAGTCATGTTTACGTCCTACTGCTATCCTCATCATCGCACCTACCAAAGAAACCTCTGTTGTCTGATATTTGTCCGTTTGCACCAACAGATGGGAACTCTGATATCCGCTCTCCTTCTCCAGCCTTATTACGTATGTGTTATGTCACAAACAGCCCAGAGCAATCAACAGCTTTATTTAAAACCTTACACAGTTAACTAATGGTCCTTTCAACAAGTGGTAAATGATAGACTGGTGTATTATACCCTAATACAATAATGTTGTAGTTATGCAACAAGGTCAATGGTTTAGGATACCGAGGGGTTTAGGATATGCAGGCAGTAAAGTATTAATATTCAAATATTTCACAAAAAGATCCACAGGTTGATAGTTAACACAAAATCAGTGCTTTGAGAATCCCTGTAGTATTAAATACATGGCTTTAAATGTTGATTTTATTTTTGTACAGTATATGACATTTTAAAATTAAGGGAAAGTTGGGGAAGTAGTATTAATTGTGTTTGGGGTGAGTTTGACAGAAATATTGACTAATATATTTAATAGAAAACGTTTTTTGTTCAGACTTTATTAGTTATGTGTTTTCTTTAACTCAGAAGGTGCTCGCTGGTGTTTGATTGTGTACGGTGAAAGGCAAGTCGAGGCAGAACATGTGTTTTTACTGCGTATCATTTGTACCTTAAGGTCTCATTTTATGTTCATGTGTATGAAAAACTTAATTTGAGCAATAAATATAACAGATAATATAATGATCAACAACCATGAAACTGCAAATGTATACTGCTATTGGAAATGTGTTTTGGATCCCCTCAGAAGGTGACCAGCCTGTAGATGCATGTGTGAGGGAATGATGCCCACTGTTCTTGACACAGACGTAGGTAACGTTTTCATGTAAATCCTGTCTGATCGTTGCCTAATCACTGCTCTTCCTTGACTCATGTTAGAGAAACAGAGTAGATGCAAATATGATTGTGAAAGTATGTGTAAATGAACTGACAAAAGACTAAATTGTTTCTTGACTATGTAAAGGATTTAGCAAAATGGAAGTGGAGCGATTTGTATTTTTAGCTCATTTAAAAACAGTAGCATAGTCAACTACCTGAATATTTTTTATTGTAACGCAGTTTAATACATTGATTTTTTATTGTTTTTGCTTAAATGTTTAAAGCACTTGAACTAACAAAGTGGGGGCCCTTTGACAGGCAACGCTAGTATTAATTTACCCGAGTCATGTAAACAGGAACAAGGCATCTGATGTGGTTTAACTGTAAGCTTCCTTCCTGTACCGTGTTCCTGCACATGGAAATGTCTCTGTAAGCATGTGTTCTGCATTTATTACCTCCAAACAAGGCTGCTCATTTCCAATCACTGAAATAAGACTGGTGTAATTTATTTATGAATAAATGTAATCTATTCTTGAAATCTGTCAGCTAGTGCAGCTTCAAGTTTGATCTAAAATTCACAGCAGAAACAAACCTCCAAAATCAGTGGGTGTTTCTCAATGTCAAGGAAGGCTGCTCCAAAGCCACTATTTCAAGCATGCTACGTCATCGAGTGCCGCCGAAGGACTGTTCCAATGTCCAGCATACTTGGAATTCTACAGAGCCCGGCGTACTTCGTTTAGAGAAACTTCGAGGCAGCTCCGTCTTGTACACAAAAATGACGCATAGTAAACATGGAATTCCAGAGTAAAATACAAGTACACATACTTTTTGAATTAAACTCGTTATTTATATTGTCTATTATATTACTAGTTGTTGGTACTTTGACGTTTACATATGACGATAACCTTTACACAAAACCTAGGGGAGTCTTCCACTGGTCGGACATCTACGTACACACTCCCTTACTACGGGTGACAAGAACTGTGTCTGCATCCATTGCAAAAGTACATTTAGGACAGACTAGCAACGGATTAGTGACGAGAAGGAACTGAGTACAATCTCTTTGTCTCATCTACGTTTATACTAACACTTTCATACACATTTACTTGACTGTTTTCTGATTTAACAAAGAACTGATACATTTCCTAAATCGTTTTACCTTCACCTCGCTAAACATAAAAATCGAGTAAATTTTTGTCATCGTATCAGTTGATGGACTTATAAAAAATAACATTGCGTCAAATTATGTAACTAAAAAATAACAAAAACGAATTTACAAATTTCGTGAACTTGATTGTTTCACCCCCGGGAAACTGTCCGTTGCGATCATAATTAAATGGGCTCAGTACATTTGTCCTTGTTCCGTAGACTACACCAAATTGACATTCGAAGGAAGGACATGGCACAAGGACGTGTACCTTTACAGAGACATTCGTACACAAGACGTAAATAATGGAGGTTTGTTCCGACGAGTAAAGGTTAGTGACTTTATTCTGACCACATTAAATAAATACTTATTTACATTAGATAAGAACTTTAGACAGTCGATCACGTCGAAGTTCAAACTAGATTTTAAGTGTCGTCTTTGTTTGGAGGTTTTAGTCACCCACAAAGAGTTACAGTTCCTTCCGACGAGGTTTCGGTGATAAAGTTCGTACGATGCAGTAGCTCACGGCGGCTTCCTGACAAGGTTACAGGTCGTATGAACCTTAAGATGTCTCGGGCCGCATGAAGCAAATCTCTTTGAAGCTCCGCGTCGTGTAAGGACATCTGAGGGATGGATCTTTAGTGAGGTGTGTTACGAAAACGACGTGCCTGGTTAAAGGTTTAGAAACCACACCTTTAACGCGAGAAGTAAATTCCGCCCGGAGCGTATACTAGAGTGATTGGACGGTGGACATCTGACAAGGTAGGTAAGAAGCAAAAGGATCCGATCCTACCAAAGAAGTTACAACTCCCGCGAACGAACCACTCGTGTTACCAGAAACACCAGAAGCTCGAGTGACGAAAGTCTTCGCTCCGTTTCTTTAGGAAGGATTAGGAAGCCCTTTTAATTCTTACCACCTTTTCCGATTGTCCACACGCAGTTTACGCTCCGGTGGCGGAATCTACCTGCGCGCTAAAGGCGGGTTTCTAAACCTTTAACCAGGCACGGTTTCGTCACACCCCTAAAATCCTGGCGCCTCAGATGTGTACACGTCGGAGCTTT